CAAACAGTTCTCCATCCCGCAGGGCTCTGTCAGGGAGAGTGGGGGGGGGGGGGGTCACTAAGGCCTTACTTAAGTGGGCAATGGGACAGTGGAAACATGAAAGTCTAGAGACTGACCGGTTGGAAATGACAATGGCATCATTGAACTCGCTTCGACAGTTATGGCGGAGAGCAGTTCGACCCCCATTAGTGATAACTGCATTACTGCCATGCAGCTGGTGGAAGCGTAGGTCGGAGCCTCCAGCTGCCGAGGATGGGGAACTTGGAGACATTTGGTTGTTCCCTTCAGGTAGTGGCTCAGAGACTGGAGGCACCTCTGCAATGGGTATCATCCATTAAGTCTCCAGGTGTTTTTAATGATTCCCAAGGCCACCCCTAATCCTTCTCCCCAGCCCTGCCAGGCCCTCACCCACGTCATCCACAATAGTGGCCTGGGCAGCCTGGCCATAGAGATCAACGACAGCATAGACACCCGGGGGTACATTCCAGGCAGCAGGGCCCTGAGTCATTCCATTGACAAAGAAGTGGAGAGTTCCATCCTCACGCCGTACCACGCCCACTGTGTCCCCTGCCTTGGAAGAAGTGGGGGCTAGAGTGAGGAGTCAGGCAGAGTTCCTGCTTGAGATGGTCCTACCTCTACCCAACCTCACTGACTCCCAACATTATCCCATCCGTGTGCCTCCTCTCACCTTGAGACGGTCCAGGTTGTGTCCATATTCATCTAGGATGGTTGTCCCATTGTGCATTACCCCATTCCCAGTCATCATCCAGGTCCCTGCAGGGACAGAGTGGCAGAAGATGAAGAACAAGGAAGAATCCAGAACCTTGGAGCAGCTTCTTCCCTGGGCCCTAAACCGTCCTGCCCTCCCTGGGATCTCACCAGAGCGTAAATTGGTCATAGTAGAGGGCAACTGGAGGTAGGCAGGGTTGTGGGTAGTGACACCAATCTCAATGGAGCCAGCCCATTTGTCCACCATCTTGTCAATTCGCACCTGGAACACCTCTCCATCCCGGAGGGCTCTGCTGCTCAGTACCACGCCATGATTGAAGTCATCAGTGGCACTGAGGACACAGCAAGTGGGGACTCAGATCTCAAAACACTCATTGAGTGTGCTGAGGTCAATATCTGTCCAATACCCACTGTTTGAAGAAAACCAACCAGACCTCTTGCTCCTGGAAGTCTCTTTCTGTACAGGAATTCCCACATCAGACACATTCTGCCTCCCATATTCCCACCTCACTGCTTCCACCCCCTTTTTGGGCTCCACCCCACAAATCATACTGGGGCCTCAGGGCAGTGCGTCCCTCGTGGGTGATGGCTGCCTTCTGTCCACAGTTTGGATGGAAGAGCAGGCGTTCAGGTTCTGCCTGGGCAGCAGGAGCAGCACGGCGGAGAGCACCCTCTGGGGACAGAGCCCTCAGGATGGCATTGTTCCGGCGGAGACGATCACTGTGGTTATTATTATGGACGATGGTCACTTTTACCGCCATCCCATACAAATCTACTACACCATATACCACCGGTGGTGTCAATGGAGTAGCTACACCTGGAGCAGAAGAGAATTGAAGAATCAAATATAAGAAGAGCAAGCATCACAGAGGAGGATAAGGTACAGACCCACTGAAGGCCCTGGCCGGGCCGGTAGTCTTTCTTGTCTGCCACCTTACCCTGATCAATGCCGTTAATGAAGAAGTGCAGGGCGGAGTTGGACTTCCTCGTGAGGCCAATATGGTCACCCTCCTAGCCAAAGAAGAAAGACCCTAGTCTGGAATCCAGCTACACTCAGGCTCAAGTTCCAGCAGTCCTGGGCACTTTCTACCACCCCATTCCACAGGAGACCACCTACTGAAGAAATTCACGTAAGACCACTCTAGGGCAGGGCTTGGGTTCCTGCTTTCCAGACACATTTCCCAAATGCCCAATGTAAAGCAGGTACTGAGTTAAACCACATTAAAAATATACCCCCACCACCACTCTCTAAAATCTCAATCCATTTAAGTGCTTTAGGGGCTAGAGATGTAACTCAGTGGTAGAGCATTTGCCAAACATGTCCAAGGACCGAAGTTCCATTCCCAGCACCAACAGAAAAAAAAAGTGCTACTAATAATCAAATTTTAGAGCCTGTTAGACAACCCTGCCTTCTTAGAAGAAGCCTCACGTGGAGAGAAAGGGATTTGTTTTTTGTCTGGTTTGCCTGGACTGGCTCAAACTACTGTGTTCCACAGTCACCTGCAGTTCATCCAGACTGAATTCACAGTACTCCCGGCGAGTACCCTTGCCATTGGTCAGGATCCCACAGCCACTCATCATGATGGTACCTGGTAAAAATGGACACCCACTTAGGGAACAGGTTGTCTTGCCCTCATCAACCTACAACCTGTGTCCCTCTCCACAGTTGGTACCTGACTGGAGGTTGGTCATGGTGGCTGGATACTCCAAGCTGTTGGGATTGTGGGTGGTGACACCAATCTCGATGGAGCCTGACCACTTGTCTACAAGTTTGTCAATACGGATCTGGGGTTGAGTGAGAGCAGACAGGAACAGAAAATAAAAGAACAGAAGATAGACCCTTGGTTCTTCAACAGACATCACCATCCTGGCATCAAGGATCAATCCCTACGTTTAGCTCCCAATCTTTGGCATGAAGCTCAGCCAGACTTCAGGATTTTACATACCTCAAACATCTCATTATCCCGAAGTGGGCGGTTGGTCATGACAACCCCATTGTTGAATTCATCCAGGGGCCTCCGGCGCTCAGCGGTCTTGTTATTGTTGCTGAGTTTGATGAGGGTCCCACACTTCTCATGAAAGAGCAGGGCATCATTGGAAGTGAGGATGGGAGAAGTGGCAGATCCACTGGATGCTAATCCATCCCCTGCTGGTGGGGAGCTCAGGTTCACATTGAGGAGGCCTCCATTGTAGGCAGACAGAATGGCATTGCTCACCACCTCAGAGAGCTCCATGCTGGCAAAGTCTATAGCAGCAAGATGGAGAAAAGAAGCCAAGGTGAGGCTCTATCTGCTCTCCATAGCTTGGGGCCCTCTTCTCCCTGCCCATCTCTTGAAGTCCCACCCGTAACCACCTCACTACCCCACAACCCTTCCCAGGGCTTCCCCGAAGCCCTCACCATTATGCGAATCAAGGCTGTTAGGAAACGTCTCCGGCCGGGCCTGCGCTGGGGACACCATGAAGGCTAGGGACCAGGTGGGATGGGAGGGGAATAAGGGTTCAGCCTTTGCTTCAGGGCCCACAGTCAGGAGACCATCTCTACTAACCCCTATATTCCCCTACAATAGGCTCTGGCTCAATGCTCCGCCCTCCCTCCCCCAGCTGGCTTGTGACGGAGGACTGCTTTTACCCCGTTTCTTCAGCCACACCTCATGCTTCCCCAGAGCTGTGTTCTCACCTTCATCCACAGAGGTCCCCTGTTCCGACAAGGCAGAATCTTCTGGAGGGGCTAAGGGCTCAAGGGGAGGTGTAGGGATAGGAGCAGGAGGGCTGAAGCCTGGTTCTGGGGGCAACACAGTGATCTGGGTGCACTTGCCATAAAGGTCCACAACAGCCCAGACTCGAGCAGGCAGGCCTGTGGCAGCCACACCACAATCCCGCCCATTCACCCAGAGCCGGAGCTCCCCAGTGGCTGTGCGTTCCACACCCACACGGTCCCCTTCGACAAGCTGGTCCAGGTCCTGGCCATATTCCTCCAACACAGAGCGCCCATCCTTCAGCACTGAGCAGCCTGACACTACCCAGGAGCCCCCCTTCAGCCCAGTGGCACTGCTTGGGAAGTCCAGCACACTGGGATCCAGAGCTGTCACTCCAATTTCAATGGAGCCACTCCAGGAGTTGACCTATGAGAGAGTGGTGGACAGAGTTTCAGCATGGAATCCCACCACCAGAAACTATGTTCCACAGCACTGTCCCCCTTATCCTGACCTCTGAGACGACAGACACAGACTCACAAACAACTTTTTAGACCTTGCTCCATACCTATCTGGACCTGCTCTCCTTTAGCAACCGTGTGCTGTGTCTAGCTGCCCAGTGTTTACACATCACTCCTTTACCCACTGAGCAAGCTAGCTAAATACCCTGGTTTCAACCACCCCAGTCACATGCTTCCTAGATCCATATATCTTGCTCTCCTAAATCACTCTTATTCCCAAACCCAATCCTCCGGTAAAACTCTACTCAGATTCACTCTTTTCCCAAATTCTGAGTTGTGCAAGAATTTCCAATGTCTCTTCATCTATCTTTCTGGATTTGGGCGTTTGTCCTTCAATAGTTTGTGCTTTTTATTATTTCTCTACTCTCTCCATCACATCTCAGTCACCTGTCTTTCTTCATCCCCAAGTGCTGTGCTAGATCTGTTCACTAGCCATCCTAGTAACTGGACCCTGGTATCCCTGTCCTGCTTCTGGGTCCTGAGGAAAGTCATTCTCCTTCAGAATGAATGTGTCTGCTTCATGCTCTTTTTCGTTCTGTTCTCTGATGCACTACGGTCTGTTGGCTTGCTGTCGGTACCTGGAGACTTGGTTGGACACACAGACTTTCTGGCAGTCCTCTCGTCCGCTCCCACCACCCTCCACCTCGATTCCACGGCCCCAGCTTTGCACCTTGCGGTCGATGCGGACAGTGAAGACGCGTCCGTCGCGCAAGGGTTCTCGGCTCAGCACCAACCCGTGGTTAAACTCTTGGCCCGGCTGCTGCCGCCGC